CCATCTTAAAACACCAACAAACATCAAAGACAAACAACAAAAGGGGAAGAACAGAACAAAAGATATTTAAAATGTCCAAAGGAAAATTGACAAAATGCCAAGAGTAAGACAATACTTTCCAATAACAACCCTAAATGTAAATAGATTAAACTCCCCAATCAAAAGACACAGACTGATTGACTGGATTTAAAAGCTAGACCTAACTATATGTTGTCTTCAAGAGACTCACCTCACATGTAAGGACACACACAGACTAATAGTGAAGGGATGGAAAAAGATACACCATGCAAATGGAAACCCAAACAAGCAGGAGTAGCTATTCTTATATTAGATAAAACAGACTTTAAACCAAAAACCCTGAAAAGAGACAAAGGAGGCCACTATATAATGATAAAGGGATCTATCCAGCAAGAAGACATGACAATCATAAATATATATGCAACCAACACTGGAGCACCCAGATATACAAAGCAAACACTACTAGACCTAAAGAAAGAGAGAAACCCCTATACAATAATAGTTGGCAACCTGAACAACCCTCTTTCAGCACTAGGGCAGATCATCTAGGCAACAAATCAACAGAGAAACACAGGATTTAAACTACACTTTAAACCAGTTGGACCTGGCAGAAATCAAGAGGACATTTCATCCAACAACTACAGAATATACATTCTTCTCATCAGCACATGAAACATTCTATAGGATAGACCACATGTTAGGTCACAAATCAAGTCTCAACAAATTTTTAAAAATTGAAGTCATTTCAAGTATCTTTTCAGACAAAAAAAATTGAAACTAGAAATCAAAAACAAGCGAAATTCTGGAGACTATACAAATACACAGAAATTAAACAACATGCTCCTGAACAACCTATGGGTACAAGAAGAAATCAAACAGGAAACCAAAAAATTTCTTGAAACTAACAAAAATAAAGACACATCAAACCAAAACCTGTGGGACAGTGCAAAAGCAGTACTAAGAGGGAAGTTTACTGCAATAAACACATCAAAAGAACAGAAAGATTTCAAATAAACAACCTAATGTTACACCTCAAAGAAAGAGAACCACAATCCAATCCCAAATTAATAGATGGAAGGAAATTAAGAACAGAGCAGAGCAAAATGAAATAGAGACCCAAAATATGATACAAAAGATCAACAAAATAAAAAGTTGTTTTTTTCAGAAGGTGACAAACTGTTAGGCTAACTAAAAAAAGAAAAGACCCAAATAAGAAAAATCAGAAATAAAAAAGGAAACATTACAACCAATACCACAGAAATACAAAGAATAGAGACTATAATAAACAACTACATGCCAACAAATTTGAAAACCTGGAGGAAATGGGTAAGTTTCTGGACACATACAAACACCAAGACTAAATGAAGAAGAAATGGAAAACTAAACAGACTAATAACAAGCAATGAGACTGAAACAGTAATCAGAAGCCTCCCAACAAAGAAAAGCCTGGGGATCAGATGGCTTTACTAGTAAATTCAACCAAACCTTTAAAGAGAAATTAATACCAATTCTCTTCAAACTATTCCAAAAACTTGAAACAGAAGCCATTCTCCCAAACTCATTTTATGAGGTCATCATCACTCTGACACCAAAACCAGACAAAGATACAACAAAAAAAAAGAAAACCAATATCTCTGATGAACATAGAAATTCTCAACAAAGTATTAGCAATCAGAACATAACAATAAATCGGGCCGGCCCGTGGCTCACTCGGTAGAGTGCGGTGCTGATAACACCAAGGCCACGGGTTCGGATCCTATATAGGGATGGCCGGTTTGCTCACTGGCTGAGCGTGGTGCTGACAACACCAGGCCAAGGGTTGAGATCCCCTTACCGGTCATCCTTTTAAAAAAAAAAAAAAAAAAAGAACATAACAATAAATCAAAAAAACTATACATCATGATCAAGTGGGATTCATCATCCTTGCAGGGATGCAAGGATGGTTCAACATATGCAAATCAATAAATGTGATATACCACATCAACAAAATCAAGGACAAAAACCAAATGATTATCTCAATAGATGCAGAAAAAGCTAACAAAATTCAACATCCCTTCATGACAGCAAATCAGGTATAGAAGAAAAGTATTTCAACACAATAAAAGCCATAAACGAAAAACCCACTGTCAATATCATCCTGATAGGGCAAAACTGAAAGCTATTTCCAAGACAAGGATGCCCACTCTTACCACTCCTATTTAACATAGTATTGGAAGTAGTAGCCAGAGCAATCAGGCAAGAGAAAGAAATAAAGGGCATCCAGTCAGAAACGACAAAGTTAAACTGTCCTTGTTTGAAGATGACATGATCCTATACAGAGAAAAACCTAAAGACTCTACCAAAAAGCTCTTAGAGCTGATAAACAATTTCAGTAATGTTGCAGGATGCAAAATTAACAGACAAAAATCAACTGTGTTTTTATACTCCAATAATGACCTAGCAGAAAAAGAAATCAAGAAATCACCAAAAAAAAAAGAATACCTAGGAATAAATTTAACCAAGGAAGTGAAATATCTCTACAATGAGAACTAAAAATTATTGCTGAAAGAAATTAAAGAGGACACAAAAAGATGAAAAGACATTTCATGCTCTTGGATTGGCAGAATTAACTTTGTGAAAATGTCCATACTACCCAAAGCAATCTACAGATTCAATGCAATCCCCCTCAAAATGCCAATGATATTCTTCACAGAAACAGATAAAACAATCCTAACTTTTATATGGAACAACAAAAGACCCCAAATAGCTAAAGCATTCCTGAGCAAAAAAAAAAATAAAGCCAGACGCATAACACTATCTGACTTCAAATTATACTACAAAGCTATAGTAACCAAAAAGAATGGTATTGGCATAAAAACAGATACATGGACCAATGGAACAGAATAGAGAACCCAGCAATCAACCCACACACTTACAGCCAACTGATCTTTGACAAAGGCAACAAGAACATACACTGGGGAAAAAACAGCCTCTTCAATAAACAGTGCTGGGAAAACTGGACATCCATATGTAGCAGAATGAAACTAGACCCATACCTCTCACCATATACCAAAATCAACTCAAAATGGATTAAAGACTTAAATATAACACCTGAAACTATAAACCTCCTAAAAGAAAACACAGTGGAAACACTTCAGAAAGTAGGACTGGGCACAGACTTTATGAAGAAAACCCTAAAAGTACAGGCAACAAAAGAAAAAATAAACAAGTGGGATTATATCAAACTAAAAACCTTCTGCACAACAAAATAAACAATTAACAGAGCAAAAAGACAACCTACAGAATAGGAAAAAATATTTGCAAACTATGCATCTGACAAGGGATTGATATCTAGAATATACAAGGAACTCAAGCAACTTAACAGTTAAAAAAAAAAAAAAAGTAACCCAGTTAAAAACTGGGTAAACGGGCCGGCCCGTGGCTCACTCAGGTGAGTGTGGTTCTGATAACGCCAAGGCCACGGGTTCGGATCCCATATAGGGATGGCCGGTTAGCTCACTGGGTGAGCATGGTGCTGACAACACCAAGTCAAGGGTTAAGATCCCCTTACCGGTCATCTTTAAAAAAAAAAAAAAAAAAAAAAAAAAACTGGGTAAAGGAGCTAAACAGGCATTTCTCAAAGGAAGTTTTACAAATGGCTAACAGACATGAAAAAATGCTCAACATCACTAAGCATCAGGGAAATGAAAATCAAAATCACACTGAGATATTATCTCAGGCCAGTAAGACTGGCCATTATCAAAAAGACAGAGAATAACAAATACTGGTGAGAATGTGGAGAAAGGGGAACCCTCCTACACTGTTGGTGGGACTGTAAACTAGTGCAGCCATTATGGAAAACAGTATGGAAGTTCCTCAGACAACCACAGATAGAACTACCATATGATCCAGTAATCCCACTGCTGGGTGTATACCCAAAGGAATGGAAATCATGTCAAAGGAACACCTGCACGCCCATGTTCATTGCTCTATTTACAACAGCCAAGATATGGAACCAAGCTAAATGTCCACTGATGGACGACTAGATAAGGAAAACGCAGTATGTATACACAATGGAATACTACTCTGCCATAAAAAAGTCTGACATTAACACCAACATGGATGAACTTAGAGAAAATTATGTTAAGTGAAATAAGCCAGGCACAGAAAGAGAAATATTGCATGTTGTCACTTGTAAGCGGCTGCTAAAAAATAAACAAATAAATAAAAGAAAGATACAACAATTTGTTGAACTTTCAAAAGGAGAGAATGGAACTGAGGCTGCCAGAGGTGGGAAAGGAGGAGAGGGAGGGGCATTAGCAAGAAATTGGTAAAGAGCCACAAAATATGATTATATTGTGTAATGTTGAATATACTAATTATCCTGATTTGAGCATCATATATTGCACACAGGTATTGTTATTCAATACTGTATCCCACAGATATGTACGAACAATTATATTTCAATAAAAAATAAAATAAATTTTAAAAATTAAATAAAATAATTTAAAAAAGAAATTGTGTAAGTTCCTGAAATGGTTGATGTACCAATTAATGTATAACCTGACTTTAAGCAAAACATGAGCTGTTTTTGAGAGTAGCTGAGACGTAAAGTTTACTGCCTATTCTGCACATTTTTAACCTGTATGTTGTAACCTGTAGCCAATAATTGTAACATTTGTATTTTACCTACCAATGAAAACAGGAAAACTAGTATATGAGGAGTTCCCCTCCCATTTCCAAACATTCCTATAAAGTCTTTCCAGTCTGTAACAGACTCCAGAGCACTTCACAACTCTGTCAGCTTGTGTTTCCTGGGTCAATCCTCAAGCTTGGCTTTCAATAAACCTTTATAAAATTATTTCTGCCTCACCAGCCTTGATTTTGGTCCACACCAGGTTACCCAAACTTGTCCAACTGGATACAAACTGGGGGTTCCTACAACCCCTTCGGTTAGGATTGAAAATATGCTATAAGTCACAGAACTCAGGGAAACACTTAACTTATGTTAACCAGTTTATTATAAAGGATGTGATAAAGGACACCAATGAACAACCAGATGAAGAGGTACATAGGGTAAGGTCTGGAAAGGTCCCAAGCATTCTGTCCCCCTGGAGTTGGGGTGCGCCACCCTCCTGCCACATTGATGGGTTCACCAACCTGGAAGCTCTCCAAACCCCATAATTTAAGGATTTTTACAGCTTCACCACATAGGCATGATGGATTATTAACTCAATCCTCAGCCCCTCTCCCCTTCCTGGAGGTGGCAGGGGGTTGCAGAGCTGAAAGGTTAAATCTTCTAATCAGTCTTTGTGAGCAGCTCCCATCCTGAAGTTAACCAGGAGCCCATCAAGAATTGCCTCATAAGAACAAGACTCTCCTATCCTCAGCAAATTTGCAGGGTTTTTAGAAGCTCTGAACAAGGAAATTTCTTATTATATCACAATATCACATCATCTGAATATACTTTTATTACACTTTCATTACATATTAAAGTTTACAGACTGGTTTATACTGAAATGCATTTCAGGTAAGCTGCTTCCTAAGGACATGTGTGAAAGCATAACAATGAGATGGATAAACCACCTCCAAATCCAACTTCAAGGAAGTTAACCTATAGACTGAAATGCCATTGATGGAATTTAGACACTAGTGACCTTTAATTCCAAAGGGCCTGGGTATCCTTGACATTATCTTCTTGACCTTTTTCTTCCTATATCACGTGTATACCCATCTTAGTGGGATCTGCAGCATTGCCCACTAAACACAAAAACTAGATTATGAGCATTTTTTAGTTCCATTATGTGCCTAGTACAGAGGCTTATATGGCAGGTGGTTAAATATTCACTGAAAAGAAGTGAATTTTGAAAATGTATATGCAGTATCCAAAAAAGTTTCATTTTTATAAGAAACAAGAACAGGAAATGCAAAAGCTAAATAACTTATATACAAAAAAATTATATATAAGAAAATTATAGGAATAGCCTCTATACTGTTGGTCCCTTCAAAAGGTTGCAATGGCCTCAGGTTATAACATAACGGGTAAGTCCTCCCCCTCGGACCTCTGATAGCCTCCGGCAGTGTCGTAAAATATTCAGTAACATGTGAAACTTCTTGTCAACTTTCAAAGTTGTGAACTCCTTTATGTCAGCTTCCACTATAAAGTAATGACCTGAAAATAAAGATATTAGTGCTAACTTTTACAAGGCCAACTTTCAAGATGAATCTTTAGTTGTGAATATGAATGGCATTAATCATTTTTACTGTCATTAGCCGATAAAAGTAAGAACTGGTATTCTTGCTAAAATAATATTCTATCAACTAAAGTTGCATGATATTTACTGTTTCATTTCAGAATTGTAGCCCTGCTTATTAGCTCACTAGCTACCTGTTGGTATCTCTTGAACAATTCACTTTTCAAGAGGCAATAACGAGGGTACTTCAAAAAGTTCGTGTAAAAACAGAATTAAAATATAATAAATCATTCCATGAACTTTTTGAAGTATGCTACAGTGGTTAATAGATGAAACCCAGAGCAGCTCTATCACTTAACTAGATGACCTTGGGCAAGCAAGTTAAGCTTTCTTTGCCAAGTCTGCAAAATGGAGGTAATAACAGTAACTATGTTATAAGGATGTTGTGAGGACTGAAGCTCTTAGTACTCTATCTGGCACACAGTAAGTGTTATATAAACATGACTAACTGTTACCATTACTATTCTAATTCTCAAAACATTGGGTAGAGTTCCACAACAGCCTCTCAATCCATGTTTCTTGGCCTCAGCACTACAGACATTTGGGGCCAGATACTTTGTTTTGTGAGTGCTGTCCTGGGCATTGTCACTGCACCCCTGGCCTCTACACACAAGATTCTAGAAGCACCCCCATCACAGCTGTACCACCCAAAAATGTCTCCAGACATGGCAAAATGTCTGCTGGTTGGAAAATTACCCCTGGTTGGGAATTAACTCTCTAGACATAGAATTTTCTAGAATTAGCTTTGTTCCTCATGATTTAGTTATACTCCATTGACATATGCACACATGTACGCTGTCATTTTACCTTTGGTGTCCTTTGTTTCTTCATCAATAAATCTGTGATAGAGATTTCTGGCCAGAGAATTCATAGACTTTTTTGGTTGATGTAGGATCTTATATTTACTAATTATTGCCTTGTTGATTTCTTTAATGACATCATTAATTTGAGAATAGGTTAAGCGGGATTTCATGTACCTGCAAAAAAGGATATGGTTAACTATTTTTTAAAAATCATACAAAATTACTTTCTTTGAAAAACATAAGTACAGGGCTGGCCAGTTAGTCCAGTTTGTGAGAGTGTAGTTCTGATAACCTCAAAGTCCAGGGTTCGATCACTGTATCAGCCAGCCACCAAAAAAAAGAAAAAAGGAAAACATTAAGTACGATGATTTTGTACAGTAGCAAAGCTATAGTACCCTTTATAAAAACAATTTTATATCAGCTTCCAAATAAACCAGACACATCTCAACAGCTAAAAAAATAACTATAGATAGCAACATATCAGAGCTTATCTTCCTTAATTATGTTTGAATGGATTAATCCCTATTATTTACCTATGGAGAATTAATATTACAATTTAAAATAAGCTCTCAAAATCTCCCCCTCCCCCCTTTTTTTCTTTTTGCAGCTGGACGGTATGGGGAACGAACCCCAGACCTTGCTGTTATCAGCACCATGCTCTAACCACCTGAGCTAACTGGCCAGCCCTGCTCTCCAATTCTGATTCAAATGGACTGATTAACTGCAAGCCATGCTTATGTAAACATTTTTAAATGTTTGTGAGCAAAGGAACTAAAAATTTAAATATTAAGAAATTATACAACTCATAGTACTCTAGTGCTATGCAAAAACTATGATCTGTTCAGAGAAAGAAAGTTGAAAAAAAGGAGGAGGAGAGGGGAAGATGAAGGATGACAAAGAAGACCACAACAAAAAAGATGGCAATGACGATTGACAAGAAAAACTGATGGGGCTGGGATGCAATGAAATGAGAGAGTTTGAATTTGATCTGCCAGGGCAGAGAAGAGCCAGTGGGCAGCCATGTTCCTTTTTATTCCCCAGCTCAAACTCCCATAGAGCATTGTCTACTTCACTCTAAGTTCCACACTTTCAGTCTGGGTCTCCCTCTTGCCCATCTTCCCAGTAGCCATGGAGGAGGCTCTCCATTCTGGACACACCAAAAACAAAACTCAAGAATCTGCCTCAATTTTTCCCATCAACAAATTTTGAATTCATTATGTTAACCTCTGTCCTTCACTTCTATGCAAAGTGGCAGTTTCTAATAAAAACTTCCTTAATACACTCATAAAATACAGAAACTTATTTAAAAGAGAATGTTCATATTTTCAAAAAACATTTCAATTATACATCTCTTTTCTAGATTTATTTTTGCTGTCCTGTTTTTTCTAACCATGATTTCCAAACTCAACACCACAGCTCTCCACAATTCATAAATGCAGTTATGAATTCCTTCAAATCCTCTCAACTATCACCTTAATTTCCTCAATACCCATCCCCCATCTCTGCCAATAGCCCCTTAGATGAGGAATGAATACTCTACCAGGACCATTCTAATTTCTTTCCTATAGATCTCCTGGAAGCATTTTCTAAAAGCCCTGCAGCTCCACTGTTCTTCATAGCCATTTGCTATTCCCTTTAGCTGAGCAACAACAATAACAACAAAAACCAAAACTGAACAACATCAGATCATCAAACAATTTTCATGAAAATAAACCTGTCAATAAAGGAAATGGTTGAGTGACAAAAACCAAACAAAAAACAAACTAAAGAGAGATGTCAACCTTATCACTAGTCTCAGGATTATGAAACAGCCAGATATCTTTCAGGTGGCTAATTGGTAAGAATTTCTTTTTTTGTGGGGGGTGGGGGCTGGCTGGTTCAGGGATCCAAACCCTCGACCCTGACCTTGGTGTTACTATACCATGCTCTAATCAACTAAGCTCACCAGCCTCTAGAGGTAACAATTTTTAAACAGGAGGTAATGAGGCAAGGGTGAGATGAGATGGGTATTCTCATATACTGCTTAACAGGAACAGAATGGAGAGCTCTGACATGTAAAGAACTTGGAAGCCGTCACTCCCGTCTTCAGAACAAGAACAAACTGAAAAATCAATAACTATTCTTAGATCCAGCAGAGAATTGAGGTCATAGGGCAAAAGCACTGCCCCCAAAACTGGAGAGACAATCAAATACAGAGAATCACTGCTTCCTAGGAGCAGAAGCCACTGGAACTAGTAACTGTAGGAATATTTAAACAGTAACTGACAAATTGCTGAGGCTCAGTTTGGACTAGCTTGAGAGTTAAAAACCCCTGGGGACCCAGTTTAGGGGGTCCCACACACTTTCATGAGTTTTACCTCCTGGATTCCCCCCAGGTTTTCGTGGTGAAGATCTTGAGCTTCAGCAGGAGAGGAGGAGGGAAAAAGTAATCATTCTGAAGTAGGCCAGGGAAAAGTAACCAGTGTGAAATGCACCTAGAGCAGTTCTGTTCTCTAAAACAAAGATCTACACTCAAGGGAAACTACTTCACCAGAGCCTTATCTGACCTAGGATTAGGGTAATTAAACAGCTTGAGCCCTTTCCAGCTAAGAAACACATCAGAAGGTCACTGTCCAGAAACAAAGGCCCCCCAAAGCCTGAGATTTAATCATAAGATTACAGAATGCTTCTCCCCCAAACCTTACCACCAGTAGGACAGGGATTCAGGATAACAATGGACTAAAACTGAGCAAGCTGCAAGACACAGAATCTATTTAAAAAGGAGTTTCTAGGGAAACCCAAAAACAGGAGACAAAAGAAATGGAAATTAGAGGAAACTGAAACCTCTGAAATCTACAGCCACAGAAAGCATTAAACACAGCCCAGCTCCTAGATACCAACATAAAAGCTCACACCAAAAGCCTATTTACCTCAGGTCCTGTTGGCAGATACATGTTGTCCAATGCTATGGGTTCCCCAAAAGTTCATGTACTGGAAACTTGATCCCCACTGTAACAGTGTTAAGGGAGTGAGAAATCCAATTATGATATTTGAAAGGTAGAGCCTTTGAGAGGTGACTGGATTATGAGGACTGTGCCCTCATGAACGAATTATCGTGGATGTGGACTGGTGGCTTTATAAGGAGCACATAAGAGAGGTCTCTGGTTATTCTCTCACCGTGTGATACTCTGTGTTGCCACAGGACCCTATACAGAACTCCCACCCAGAAGAAGGCCCTCACTAAATGCACCCCCTGGAAAATAGACTTCCCAGCCTCCAAAACCGTAAAAATAAATTTCACTTCTTGAAGCTGGCCACTTAGCTCAGTTGGTTAGGGTGCTGCACCAAGATAAAAGGTTCAGATCCCCACACAGGCCAGCCACCAAAAAAATAAATAAATAAATAAATAAAAGAAAGAAATTTCATTCTTCATAAATTACTCAGTTTCAGGTACTGTTATAAACAAAAGAAATGGACTAAATACATCCACCTTTCAACAAAAAATTACAAGGAATAAGAAAAAACAGTCTGAAGAAACAAAACAAGCATCAGAAGCAGACTCAAAAATGACAGAGATTTTGAAAGTATCAAAAAAATTAATTCAGATTACAATGTTTAATATGCTAAGGGCTCTAATGGGAAAAGGATAAAATATAAGAACAGGTGGGCAAAGTAAGCAGAGAGATATAAACTCTAAAAAAGAATCAGAAGGAAATGCTAGAAATCAAAAACTCTATAAGAGTAATTAAGAATACCTTTGATGCTTTGATGGGTTCAGTCAGCAGGCTAGACTAAAGAATCAGACTAAAGTAATCAAGAACTGTGAGACAAATTACAAAAGATTTATTTAACATATATATAATTGGAATACCAGAAGGAGAAGGAAAAAAGATATATGCAAAGAACTCCTACAACTCAACAATAAGAAAATAAACAACCTATTTAAAAAACAGGCTACGGGGGCCAGTCCATGGCTCACTCAAGAGAGTGTGGTGCTGATAACACCAAGGCCATGGGTTCGGATCCCATCTAGGGATGGCCGGTTGGCTTGGTGCTGACAACACCAAGTCAAGGGTTAAGATCCCTTTACTGGTCATCTTTATGGAAAAAAAAACAAAAAACAAACAAAAAAAAAACACAACAGGCTAAAGACCTGAACAGACACCTTACCAAAGAAGATATAAAGATGGACAATAAGTATATGAAAAGATGCTCAATGTCAAATGTCATTAGGGAACTTCATATTCAAACAATGACATACCACCACACACCTATTAGAATGGCCAAAATTCAGAACATCGACAACACCAAATGCTAACCAAGATGTGGAACAACAGAAACTCTCATTAATTGCTGGTGGGAATGCAAAATTGTAAAACTACTCTGGAAGACACTTTGGCAATTTCTTACAATACTAAACATACTCTTATCATATGATCCAGCAATTGCACTCCTGTGTATTTAACCAAATGAGTTCAAAACTTATGTCTACACAAAACCTGCACATGAATGTTTATAGCAGCTTTATTCATAATTGCCCAAACTGGAAGCAACCAACGTGTCCTTCAACAGCTGAATGAATAAACAAACTGTGGTGCAAACAATGGAATATTCATTGATGAAACGAAATGAACTACGAAAGCACAAAAAGACATGAGGAATATTAAATCCATATTGCTAAGTGAAAGAGACCAGTCAGAAAAGGCTATAGAATGTATGATTCCAACTTTATAACATTCTGGGGTTCAGTGGGGGCTATAAAGAGGTGGAATACAGGGCGCTTTCAGGACAGTGAAACTCTTCTGTATGATACTGTAATGATGGACACATGACATTAGGCATTTGTCAAAACCCATATAATGTACAACACAGAAGGAATCCTAATGTAAACTGTGGACTTTAGTTAATATAGTGTTTCAATATTGGTTTAGCCATTTTAATAAATGCACCACACTAATACCAGCTGTTAATAATAGAGGTAACTGTATGCAGGAGAGAAGGGCTATGAGAACACTCTACTATCTGCTCAATTTTTCTGTTAACTTAAAACTAACAGAGTTCTAACAAACAAGAGTCTATTAGCTAAAAAACAAAAAGCCAAAAATGAGAACAGGAAACTGGTCTGGACAACTCTCTGGAAAGTAAAATAATAATGTCCTTTGCTCCAGGGACTCTCCTTCTAGGATTCTATCCCAAGGAAATAAGGAATTGCTAAATAGACTTGTCTAAAAGAAATTTCACTGTACCATTTATTTATAACAATGAAATCTCCCAAATACTTAATAAGGGAATGCTTAAATAAGTTATAGGATAGCCACAGGATGAAATATCCTACATCTATGAAAACCCAAGTTTTCAATGATTGTTAATGATGGAAAAATGCTCATAATAAAAGAATAAGTCGATTGTATTTCTAGTATAATTACATTGTTATAATAACAACTAGAAATACCCCGTTATACATGTGCAATCAAATAAAATCTGAAAGGAAACGCCCTATCTTATCTGAATAGTAGAATTACAAATGAGTTTTATTTTCTGACAACAGTCACTTCCTAACAACATGCATTATATGTATGTATAATAAAAAAGTAACAAGAAATGTAATATAATTTAAAGCTTAGAAGTTGAGCAAAGCCCCAGAATTATGAGAGTTTAAAGACATTATTGCCATCTGTAAAAAGCAAAGGAGACCTCTCTCAGGGGAGGCATCTCGCCTTATACATTCCCATACTCCCCTGAGTAACACAGGGCCCATATATAGCACAGAATCAAACAGGTGTGTGCTACAAAGGACAAATGGAAACCAAACACACACACATACATTCTCCATTCTAATTCCCAAATCTACCCAACACACTCAATTTCCTTAAAATTACAGCAAAAGTGAGGCTACTTCTAAAATGTAAACTGGTAAATCTGTATCACAAAACTGTCCCGGAGAGGACCTCAGCAGTAAACTGATCCATCTCTATATCTTTCTATGAAAAGAGGTTTTACAACTAAACAAAAAACATGATTTTAAGAATCATCAAAAAAATCTACATTTTCACAGTACAATGTAAAACTATTTTAGAAAAGATCGATATTTGAACACAGCATATTACAATGAATATAATTAAGCTTTATGATTTATACAATCAAGTATGTTGATTATTAAGGAGATGAACATTAAAGTTTATCTTAAATACTTACGCAGGAACATCATTGAACTCATCACAAGTTATAAAAGGCATTTCTTTAATAATTCTTTGTTCTTTTGGGGGCTTCTTTGTGGGTACAGGTTCCTCAACTTTGACTGGTTCTTCAGGGTCAAGACCTGATCCCTTAAAACTGCAGAATAGAGATGTACATACATACAGGTAATTGTAAGAATTAAGCAGCATACTTGAAAGTTTTCCCAGCTGAAAATAATCAATATTAAACACATGATTCATCCTGTTATAACAGATTTTATAGCCAACATTTTTATTTCTATCCCTACCTGTTGTTCATGAAAATCTAAGTAGCAAAAGGAATGTTGAAAAATTAAGTCCCCAAATTTTCAGTAATATAGCTAGATTTACTTACATACCCCAAATGCAGTATAAGTAGTACATATGCTAGACATCTTCATCAGTTGTCCCACTGGCTCCTCAAAGTCAGTATGTGTAAAGTTGAACTTAACCCCTAAACAGCTTCTCTTCCTGACTTCCCTAGTTCTGAACCTGGAAACATCAGTTATCTTATACTTCTATTTATTCTAATTGACCTTGATGATCGCTAATGTCAGTCTCTGCCTATTGCAAACTCATTTTCGTTGCCAGCACTGAGCATGGGTCACCCTTGAATTCAGTCTGTCCAAATTTTAGAGTCAGTGAGAAGCCTACTAATATGAGAGGTCTCCTAAAAGTTCATGGAAAGATTTATATTATCTTTCAATTCCATTTTTCCAAGAAATCTCTGCAGTGTACTCATATAGCTTCTGCCCCACTAGCAAAAGGAGCCTAGAAACACGATGTAGCTTTTAGGTGGCTTAACAGCCAGGGAAGGAACCAACCTCTATTGCCAGCAGCAAGTCAAGCCACAGTGGCTGGACTACTCCAAGAAAGAAGACCCCAGATCCAGGATACAGTAGGTCTAACAGAGGAACAAGCAAAGGTAACACACAAAGATGGGAAGTTAGGGCCTTTGGGAGAAAGGCAAACGACAAACTAGAACTGTCAGTGAACAGACATACAGAGGTAGGATGATTTTTGAGGGGAAAAAGAGCTAATGCCTTTGGCTATCTTTAAGATGAGTAGTTCATTAAGCTTACTTTTACCCTAAGGCAGTGGTTTTCAAAGGTCAGGGGAGATTTTTGCCCCTAGAGGGCATGTGGCAATGTCTGGAGACATTTTTCATTGTCATAACTGGGTGGAGGTAGAGGGACGCTACTGGTATGTAGTGGACAGAGATCAAGAATTCTCTTAAACATCCTATTCTGACAACAAAGGATTATCTGGCCTAAAATGTCAATGGAGCTGAGGTTGACAAAATGCTCTAAAGGGAAGAAATGAGTGAGAAAGGAGAGCCCAGAGAGACTTGCTCTTGGGAAAGAGGGGTGACATTTTCCTCAGAGACAGCAGGACAAGAAAACTGGTGACAATTGGAGAAATAGTTTCTAGTATGAATTACAAAAAACTGGATAATCATTGATAAAACTGCAAGTATACAAAAGAACAAAAAGCTCTGAGATATTTATTTTCATAGGTTTATACATTCAGATAACAAGAATAATTATAAATACACTTACGAGCTCTGGGTTACTGTTACTTGAGGCAAATGGGAAGGAATGTTTTCTTTGAGATGTTCCACATCTTTATAATCTTCTTCAAGTGATTCACAGAGTTCCTAAAATTTAAAAAATGCTCACAAATAAGTCTCTGTCCTCCCTTTGTGTTTTAACACATTATAAAAAGCAGGAAGGACCGTGACCATAAGCACAGTGACTTTGAGTGTTGAGAATGCAGAATGAAGTGAAAAGCACTGGATGTAGCAATTTAAAAAAAAAAAAAAAAAGCCCTTTGGTTTCTAGAGCTGTTTCTAGATGGTGATACAATATTTTTCTCTACTGGATTTTTTTCAGATAACAATCATTATAATCACATTACAATTACAAGGCAAAGTTGAAGTTAAGTCTTCCCTAAATACTTTAACCTCGGGAGGCAACTAAGAAATATATGAATGATTTATGCTTTTCATTCTGGTAAATTGCTTTGTTGACTTAGCAAATGATCCCGAGTGTTACTAATATAACAGCACCAGAGTGACAATGCATGCTCAGATGGCCAGCACGTGATGCTGCTTGGAATGACCTCCATTGCTGACATCCATATATTCCAGCTTAATGAAAATATTTCCTTGATCATAACTGGATTTGTTTGGTTTTTTTGATCTTTATTTAACTTCATTAGAACATGTGGCTATGAACGCATTCAATTTTTTTTTTTAAAGGATGACCGGTAAGGGGATCCTAACCCTTGACTTGGTGTTGTCAGCTCCACGCTCTCCCAAGTGAGCCAACCGGCCATCCCTATATGGGATCCGAACCCTTGGCCTTGGTGCCACCAGCAGCACACTCTCCCAAGTGAGCCATGGGCCAGCCCGCTCTCATTCAAATTTTAATAAGGAAAATATTCTGTGCCTTTGTCTTCCGTCATCTGATTCCCAGTCATAATGTGAACAGAAATTCCAAATAACCATTAGATCCAAGTTGAACATTTTCTAGTCCTGCACCTAAGCCTGTGCGTTCTTGGGCAGCTGGGATTGAAATACCAATATTGGGTTTCCATTTTAAATTTATATGACATCTTCTTTTTGGAAGAGCTAAATGATGTTCATCATAGATACTAATTTCATTTTTATTAATATAGTTGGATAGACATAATCAAGCCCATTCCTGCAACTGAAAAATCTTTACAGACCTTAAAGATTATAGGGCTAAATGGGACTGTAGAGGCCACCTTGTGCAATCCCAATGAATCCTTCAATGGTTCTAACAACATGAAGTAAATATGGTACAGACTGAGAATTTTCCCATCAGGAAGCTCACAAGCACTTTTAATAGCTGAACTCAAGTAGAAGGCATATTTAGAACAAAAAGTGCATATGAATGAAGCTCAAGTTTTCCTTTACTTGAGAATCTTTATACTCGTATTACATTTTACAAAAATATAAAAACACAGAAATACAAGTGAGCTAAGAAACAGACCAGTATGATTCATTATTTTTCAAATGAGGATCCTGAGATCCCAAGAGGTAAAAATGGCTTTCTCAGGGTGGAAGGGGGTGCCAAGGTGAGAATCCACATCTCCTCACCCAAGGCAGGTATTCTTTACACACCAGTCTACCAGGATACCGTGTGTTTAAGTTAAAACTACCAAGAATTATTTAGAAAACCCTCGTTTTTAATAAAGCTCCATTCCACTGGCCATCAGCATGAAGGAAGTAGTAGCTGGGGAGCTCTGAACTCCTTTATAGTAGAAAAATAAAACACAAATGTCACTCTGTACCATTAATAATTTATAAAGCTAAGAACATTATAAACTTAAAGAATCCTTAAGAATTGCCTGGGGATTAAGAAATTTGCATTTATTGCCTTTTCTTCATTAGAAAAATATTACCTTGAGTGAACTGTTGGTTTGTTCTTGATACTGTATTTCTAATTCCAGTTTTTTTAGAAGTTCATTTATTACAATGATCTCATCGCCTATTTTATTTAAGGTACTCTTCAGGGTAGGTTCTTGGCCTGTTATAAACAAAGGTAAAATAAAAAACCAGGTGCACAGAAAAGCAATAACAAGTACCCATGTGAAGTAGACACTTGGAGCAGACACTGGGGGTGGATAAAGGACTATTGTTTCATCCCTTGTCTCTGTAGATAATCTTAAGACCTCATTTCTAAGTAGTATGGAAGAGAAGGAGGGGAGAGGCAAGTACAAAGTGTCCCCTGAGTCTTTTGTTTCTGCCAAATTCCTCCACTATGATAAAACACCTAGAAATGGTAGATAAAATAAACACCCTTCTACACGCATAGCAGAGCTTTCATGACAATAAGGTAAGTCTCCAAGGGACCCAACATGAAAGGAACCACAGACCAGGCAGTATGTGTGAGCTGATGCTGCAGCAGCCCTAATCTGGAGGAATGCTGGCAAGGAGGTTGTCCATTTTAGCAACTGAATATATTTAGTTGTTTTTTTTTACTTTCTTTTTTTTTGGTGGCTGGCCAGTATGGGGATCCAAACCCTTGACCCTGGTCGGTGTTATCAACACCACACTCTAAGTGAGCTAACCGGCCAGCCCCGTATATTTGATTTTAATGAGGATAAGATCCAAGGCTTTGGGGCTTCAAATCACAGGATGTTGGAAGCAGAATCTCAAATAAGTCCAGGAGCCCTCTTTATGGGATGGATCTTCAGTGAAAGCCCAAACCTGAAAAATACTAATCACTGGCCAGGCGTAAGTTTATTACGCTTTGGACTGGCCCTCAGGTGGGTGCTTGGGGAGCGGGTGGGGGTGAGGCTGAAGGGAGTTTTCTTTGGGAATTTGTAATGTAGGTTTGGGATTCATTTGAGTTTGAGAATCATATTCACACTAACCACACCATTCAAAACCCCTAAGTGGAGAAAGTAGTATAAAAGTATAGTGATAACCCTGGGAGTGCCTGGCAGAGAAACACAAGACATTTAAAGCAGCATGTTCTAATCTTCCCAGCCCCAAACCCTAGCACCTCTCTCTAGAGTTATACATTTGAGAAGGATGAGAAAACCAGAATCCCTTCTCCCCTAGAAATGAAAGAACTTTTTAAAAAAATTAAGGGCAGATCAAAAGCACAAAAGAAGAACTACCCTCATAATTAAATCTTTCGATCTATACTTCTAGCAACCACACAAGATACATCTAAGTAAAAACACACTTGGCCATATCTGTAGATTGTGGAGGCAGAAGACTGAAATGACTAGAAGTTCCAGGCCTGAAGGCAGAGACAACAGTGCCAACCTCATAAGTTTACTGCAAAGATAAATGAAAGAACATATAAGATGGGCTCAGTGCTGTGTCTGGAAACTAGTAAAGCACTCAGTAAATGCTAACTACTATTCATCGCCATAATGAGCAGTGTATTATTCTGCTAACAGAGCAATGCTAATTGCATTTGACATTCAGATCACAACTAAAACAAATTAATAAGTAAACCAGAGTACTGATGTCTCTGCTGAGATTAATTTCAAAGGGTTAGATAACTAGCTGGACAGTTATCTTTTCCCTGTACATTAGTATCTCAAATAACTTTCAGTCAACTAAATATTAGGGTCTTATTTACTGATGAGTAGTAATATGATCAATTGAGCAAATTTACTACTTTTGATAGTAATCTAGTAAGCTACAGAAGCCAAATTGGCAAACAAACTACAAGGCTATTTACTAAACAGGCCTTGGAACCAAACAGACAAATGATTCTCCCCACATACAAAATGATGATTGTCCAGTGTGTAGTAATCTAAAAGCCAGGTCTCATGCTTTGGTGGGGTTACTTGAATTCAAGGTTTGATAGTTTCACAGACCTCCAAGTTATATCTGTTTATCAAATAGTAATTATGCCCTCAGAAAGAGAATCTAAACAAGACTAATTATTAAAAATCTAAAAGTCCTTCTTAGATTTTTTTCAATAAAGTGGCAGAGAAGTAGAAAGAGTACTAAACTGGGAATCAAGACACACAAACTGTCCTCTAGCCAAGTATTCATGAGCTGGGGGACCTAGACAAGCCACTTGACTTCTAAGAGTCTCAGTTTCCTCATGTGTTAAATGAGGGGGCTTGCTAAAATGAACCCACTGTCCCTTCGGCTTTATCTTTCTACAGATTGTGTGAACCATAAGCTGTAAAATGGGTGAGGGTCCTTTATTAGAAGTTCTCCATAAAGGGCTGAGAATAACAAAGTCCCAAGGAGGACACGTATAATTCAAAAGGGCATATCCAACATTACAATTTCATATTTGAAAAAAATTTTTAAACTATCAATTCATAATATGAACTACAGTAAAAATTCAATACAATCTTCCTAACTGATGGAATTCTGTCTATCAATAAATCTTTAACTATCCAAGACAGAGCTGGGGGGCACATCATTTTTTAAAACAACATTGAGAATTGACAAGGATCATTTTTCTTTGAACTTTCATTACATTATCCTCTTTCAGCATGTAAAATATTCTCGAAGATAGTTACAAACTCCCAAGTGTATGGATGTTAAGAAAACTGATTTCATTTTCAGTTACAATAGCCGCCACCTCCACATTCTCAGGGGACACATTCCAAGACCCCCAGTGGATGCCACTGACAGTACCTAACCTGTATATACTATGTTTTTTTCTGATCTGATAACCAAGACTAAGTGACAAACAGGTTGGGTAGCCCAGAGTGGATCTACTGGTCAAAGAGATGATTCGCGTCCCCAGAGGGATGGCACTACTCATAAAGTCCTGCAATTTAAAACTTAAAGTTGCTTATTTCTGGCATTTTCCATTTAATATTTTTGGACTGCAGTTGACCGTGGGTAACTGGAACTGCCGAAAGTGAAAATGCAGGTAACAGTGAACTACTATAGTTGTTTCCCAGTAGTATATAGTGATAGGCTTCCTCTAAAGCAGGCTGTACGATGGGTTATGGACTACTTCTCCCTCTGTGGATCTTTTCCACTTCATTTTCTTCCTTGCCTTTTAGTATGTCCATTTAGCTCTAGAACCATGGATGCCACATAATCTTCAAATCTTACTATTGGCCTATGTGTCTCAGAAAAACATAAGTAAATAAACATAATGGATATCCAGTTTATCATTCAATGTACTTTACATTTTTAGAACCCTCTGCAATACTCAAAATACTAACACTGGAATGTTTTAAAAATCACTATAAGAAATCTAAAGTTACCTTTCTAAGATACATGCATTTAAGCAGACATAAGACGCCATTCAAAGTGGAACAAAAATCAAAATGCATTTTGCATATACAAAGTCAGTGGAATCTGTATTACTTACCACAGTTTCTTAATGACAGAGTTTTTTTAATATTGCCAATCTTTTCATTAATATGAAAGCATAATTGCTCCAGGTCTGAGAAGGCCATCTTTTAAACCTCTGAAGAAAAGGAATATATATAAAAACAATTATAAAAAAAAGAAAAGCCAAAGAAATTTCTGCTCACTTTCAAAATCCAGCAATAGTAAATGTCGAATAAATCACATCCTTGAAAGGGAAGTACAAAAACTCAAGAGCAATTTCTTTCAATAATACCAAATTCCGTTTCTAATCAAAGTACAGAACTGACTTGTCTTAGAGCCTTCTGCAGTCAATGGATCCCAAATCAGGGTACAGGGGATAAACCCGGGCCATTTCCCTAAGGGTTGAGGAGGACAAAAGCACTACTTATATGTAAAGACAACATTGGCATTTTCTTTAAAAACGTAAAATGCTCATGCATTTTAAAGAAACACTATAATTTCAAAGAAAAGGGCCCGGTAAGCATTTTTCCTCTGGGTGGGGGGTTGGGGTTTTACAGTTTGGGGTCGGTAAGGAGGCGGAAAGAGAAGAATTCGGTTACTATTCACTCCGAGAGTCCGTCCAAAACACCCATTCCAGCTAAACCAAGCGGAGGCATGTCCAGCCCCATCCGAGTTCCCCACCCGCCAAGCAATGCCTCCGGCTGCCTCCGAGGGCAGGGTCCCCAACACCAGACTCCAACCTCGCGCCGGTCCGGGATCATCGGGCCCACTCTCCGCTGGGTCACGAGCTGCAGACGCCCCGGTCTCTGCCGGAAGCCGGGGATCGCGAGACGCGACGCCGAGAGCAAAATTCAAACTGCCCGCCGGCCCGGGCACTGCGCAGGCGCACGTCGCGCTACCGGACGCTAGTTTCTCCACTACGTGATTGCGCGTCACCAGGGACCACAGCTGGGCGGGGTCGGGGGCGGGGCCGAGAGGGATGGGGCGGGGCGGGGGAAAGACTGCCAAGGCGGGTGACCCTCCTTCTCCCGGCGGCCACCGGGGGCCTCAGTCAGTCACCCCGTCCGGTCCGCTGCCCACCCAGGGATGAAGGCACCGGAGATAAAATGGCGAGCTAAAACAGGGGTTCTCGAAATTGGCTGCACGTGTAAAACAACTCAATGCCTAGGACTATCCTAAATCAGTGAAATCAGACACTGGGGAGATGGGGCCCCAAGCCTTGGGATTTCTTGGGTGGGGACGGGACGGCTGGCCGATATGGGGATCTGAACTTCTGACCTTGGTGTTTATAAGGCTGTGTTCTAACCAAATGAGCTAACTGACCAGCCCAATGCCAACACTCCAAATAATTCCAAAAACCAGCCACACGTTTCTGAGCTGAAAGAACAGGGACACTGTCCTCCTGGGGCTTATAGCGTCTGTAAGAGCAAATAAAAATTTAAAATAAAGCGAAAGTTGTTTAAGTTTCCCTGTTGAATAAAAGGGAAAAGCATCCCAGGGCTGGAGTGTTAACTCCAGTCATCAGGTACCAGATGCCTTCCATCTTTGGGCTCTGCTGTCCGTAGCAGCATGCATTCCGACCTTAAGGTTGCTGGTCTCTGTCATCAGATCTTTGTCCCAGGCAGCAGAAAAATAGGAAGAGGCAAGCGTAACAGGCTCACCTACTAGCTGAGCCAGCACCTTTAAAGCACTTTCCTGGAAGCCACACCCAGTGGCTTTTATCTGCTCGTCAGTGGTCACACCTGCAAGGGAGACTCAAAAATATCTTTTTAAGAAAATTTAATCTGGACAGTTACATTGCCTCCTCAAAACTATAGGGGTTCTATTTGTAAGGGAGAAGGAGAGCATAGATACTGGGTAGGTGAAGGAGTTCAGAACATGCCACCCCAAAATATGTCACTCTGGCATATTGATTATTTCGAATTAAAGATACCTAAAAAACAGCAGATGAAAGAAGAGCACCCTGACCTTCCTTTTTCTTCCTGAAAACAGGAGATGAACTGAAAGTCCCATGTGAAAGATGTCCTCACTACGTCAAGAAGAAAGAAACATTTTAACACCAGAGATGGGAAGCTGAGGCCAAGAGATATCCAGGCAGACAAACCTTGTTAAACTAAGCCTGTCTTCCTAGTCACTTCTCCACGATTAACAGCCCTAGCCCAAGCCCCTTGTCTGGTCACATTTTCACAATTTCCTACTCTTTGTCCAATTTAGTATTTAAGCATTCAGCTCTAACTGCTCCTTTGGGTCTTTATTTTTCTTGTGAGGGCTCTCATGTACATGTAAAAAAATTATTAAAATGTGTATGCTTTTCTCCTATTAATCTGTTTTATGTCAGCCCCAGCCAAAGACCCTAAGAGGGTGAAAGAAAATTTTATCTCCTCTACATAGGAAAACAGAAGCCTTGGCCATTTACACTTATTACTTTTAAAAATCTTTTATTAGAATTCTGGGAAGATGGTGCAGTAGGAAGCACCAGAATCTGTCTCCCCACCTAGACAACAACCTCACTGGCAGAAACTGTTTGATATAACTATTTTGGAACTCTGGAGTCTATTGAAGGCTCTGAACTTCCAGGAGAAGGCTTGGATGTTAAATTGTGGTTAATTTCCATCAATTTCACTCTTAACACAGTAGCAACTACCCATTCCCTACCTTCAACCCCATGGCAGGCAGCTGTGCATATGATTTTGGAGCAGCCTGCACACAACTTGCAGGAGCCAGAGGAGGCAAAAAGGAGCCTGTCATCCAAATATCTGGGATCTGGGCTCTGATCACTGATTGCAGCTTCTGATTACAGAGATGTAGACAAAAAGGACAACTGCCATCGTTGTTGTACCTCCCTGAATTGTTGCAAACCCCACCACCTCAGGCTAAAGTGACTTGCAGGGGGTTTAAAGAGCTAGCATCCATTTTCCATCCTTTGGGGAGACAGACATTAAAAACTAGAACATTCAAAAACTGCATATATGGGGGAAATCAGAAAGTGACCACACATGCCCAGGGAAAGATGCAGGCTCCAAAGACATGAGAAGACTTTAAGTTTACACCTCAGGCTGATTCTTGGCACAGAGACAGGCTACAACAATAGAAAACAAAAACAAAAATAATAGCAAAAAACAACCCTAGAATCAGAAGAATCTGATTTCCGGGGTTCCACATCATTAGATTCAAATGGCCAGTTTTCAGCAAACAATTACATTGTATACAAAAAAACAGGAAAGTATGATACACTCAAAGGAAAAAAATCAACAGAAACTGTCCTTGAAAAAGATCTGATTGGAGTTCTATTAGACAAAGACTTTAAAATACCTGTCTTAATTATGCTGAAGGAACTAAAGAAAGATGTGGAGAAAGTCAAGAAAATGATGTATGAACACAGTGGAAAATCAATAAAGACACAGAAAACCTGAAAAGAAACCAAAAAGAAATTCTAGAGCTGTGGGGAAAATAGAATAATTTAGTCAGGCTCCCTTGGCTCAGGTCTGGCTGGGGGATTGAGCAGCACATTCTTAATTCTTTGTAAATATTGTGTGTGGGTGGAGTTAGTGTGCATGTGTGCCGATGTATCTTTTTAGTTTTGTAGCTTTTGTGTGTTCTGCAGTTTGTGAAGCAGGCTGGCGGCAGAGAGCCCACGTCTAAAAATAGAGCATGTTTACTCTCCTGGCAGCAGCTCTATTTCAGTTTTTCTTTGGACTTTGCCAGTAGTAGTTGAGGTTCTGAGTTTCTCCTGTGGATTGCTAAGCTTATAGTGTTGTGTGTGCTGAATAAAGACTATTCCTTCTTCAACCAAGGCTCCAAGGACCTTTTTGCTGGTTACCCAGCTCATAGACCTGTGTGTGAAGGGTTTGTGAATGGGCTTGAGAGGTCTGTGAGCTCCAGACCCTAGCTCTAGCTCTACAGTAACTTAAAAGTACAATAACTAAAATAAAAAATTCATTTAGACAGATTCAAAAGGAGATCTGAGCAGGAAGAAGAAACAATCAGTGACCTTGAAGACAGAACAATGGAAATTATCAAGTCTGAGAAACGGGAAAAAAAAGATTGAAGAATCGTGAACAGAGCCTAAGGAACATGTGTGTAGTATACCATCAAGTAGACCAACTTACACACTGTGGGAAACCAAGAAGGAGAACATAGAGAAAAAGGGGCAAAGAGAATATCTGAAGAAATAACAGCTGAAAACTTTTCAAAATTGATGAAAGACATAAATATAAACACCCAAGAAGCTCAACAAACTCTAAGTTAAAAGCAATAAGAGACCCAAACAAAACTCCATTGTAATCAGACTTCCCAATGACAAAGACAAAGAGAGAATCCTGAAAGCAGCAAGAAGGAAGTAACTTATCACATACAAGCATTCTGAAATAAGAATATCAGCATATTTTTCATCAGAAATTTTGGAGGACAGAAGGCAGGGGACTGATATATTCAACATGCTAAAAGAAAAAAAGAAAAAAACCTAAAACCAAGAATCTTGTATCTGGCAAACCTGTTCTTCAAAAATGAAGGAAAAATTGAGACATTCCTGGATAAAGAAAAGTAGAGTTTGTTATCACTAGACCTGCCCTGTAAGAAATGCTCAAGGGAGTCCTGCAAGGTGAAATGAAAGGATAGTAACTCAAAGTCATATGAAGAAATAAAGTCTTATACAGGAAAATAGTGGGCAACTATAAAAGCTTGTATTGTTATAACAATGGTTCATAACTCCTTTTATTGTTTTCAATATGACTTAAGAGACTAATAAATTTTTTTATTTTTATTTTTTGGTGGCTGGCTGGTATGAGTAACTAACACATTTAAAAACAAACAATTATTAGCCTAAAGCCTAGTATTATCATAACTTGGATTTGCAACTCCACATTTTTTTTCCTACATAACTTAAGAAACTAATGCATTTAAAAGAATTATTAGCTTGTTTGGGGGCACGCAACATATAAGGATGTAATTTTGCTATATTAACAACCAAAAGGGGTGGGGACAGAGCTGTAAAGGAATGGTTTTTGTACTTTATTGAAGTTAAACTAGTAGAAATTCAAATTTGATTGTTATACTTTTAGGATGTTAAATGTAATCCCCATGGTGACCACAAAGAAAATAGCTGTAGAATATACACAAAAGGAAATGAGAAAGGAA